AAAAAAAAAAAAAAAAAACAACTGAAAAAAAATGACAAAAAAAGAAAAGTGTACCAATAGTTCCAGGTCTGTTTGTTGACCTTCAGGAATGGTTTCCAGTTGAGTCTGATGGGGTACCACGCCCTGGCCCCAAAGTCTGTGTTTGGTATTCCCCGGGGATTTCAATGCTTTGCTCCCTTTGCTGCTATGTTGCATGCCCTTCGTGTTTTGCCCCAGTGTTGGGTCAGATCGGGCACAATTCTCGCACTGTGTCTCCAGTATTTCCCCCATAACACTATGGGTCAGAGAAGAATGCAAGACTCTCTTTTAAATTGCTGGTAGCAGAAACTAGATGCATAGTAGCTTTTGCAAAAAGGTCTTAAAAATGGAGGAAACTATGATGTTGTTAGGTGCTGTGGAGTCAGGTCCAACTCACAGTGACCCTATGTACAACAGAATGGAAACACTGCCCGCCTGGCCCACCCTCACATTTGTTCTGTTGAAGCTCCTTGTTGCAGCCACTGTGTCAGTCTGTCTCTAGCAATACTGTTCAGTACATTAGACTTCATTACATGATCAAGAAGTGTAAGTAAGCATGCTATAAAAGGAGTGTTTCTTCCTTAAGATCATCTGAACCAGATGTGAGAACCAACTGTAAGAGGTGATACCAAACCCATGGAAGACGAGCTGCCTTAAGATTTGAGACCATAGAAGGGGCATGGCCACCAAGAGAAGCGGGGCCAGAAGAAGGAAGGAAGGGAAATCTGTATCTTCAAGGGTCTTCCTCTTCACTGGCCTATTGCTTTACCAAGTATGATTTCTCTCTCTGGGCACTGATGTCTTCTGACAACATGGCCAAAGTACTTGGGATGAAGTTTCACCATTCTTGGCTTCTAAGGATCAGCCTGACTGTACTTTGAAGACAGATCTGTTTGTTCTTTTGGAAGTCCATGGTATTTTCTATATTCTTCACCAGCACTCTAATTCAAGTGCATTAATTCTTCTTTGATCTTCCTTTTTCAGTGTCCAACTTTCACATGCATATGAGACTACTAAAAATACCCTGGCCAACTTGGGTCAAGTACACCTCCATCCTCAAAGTAACATCCTTGCTTTTCAATACTTTAAAGAGGTTTTATGCCGCAGATTTACCCAGTGCAGTGCATTGTTTGATCTCTTGACTGATGCTTCCACGAGCATTGATTATAGATAGATCCAAGCAAAATTAAATCCCTGGCAACTTTAATTTTTTTCTCCATAAATCATGATGTTCCCTGTTGGTCCCGTTGTGAGGATTTTGGTTTTCCCTACATTGAGCCTCCATACTGAAGGCTGCAGTCCTGATTTTCACAGCAAGTGCTCCAGTGCACCCTCACTTTTAGCAAGCAAGGTTGTGTCATCTGTATGTACTGAAGGTTGTTAATTTAACTCCTCAATCCTGATGCTTAATAGGTTCCCTAGAGAATGTAGTTAATTAAGTGTGCCTTTAGAGTCCTGTGCATCTCACTGTGTTTACAGTGTGAGGTGTGTACTTTGGAGATTATGCTGAATGCTGTCTGGTTCCAAGACTAGTTTTACTGAATAGCATGGTTACCTGTGGCAAACAAAAGTAGTGTGAAAGAGCTTGCCTGGAGCAACATTTTATTATTTATTTATTTTAATCATTTTATTGGGGGCTCATATAACTCATCACAATCCATACATACATCAATTGTGTAAAGCACATTTGTACATTCATTGCCCTCATCATTCTCAAAACAT